TTATAAGGGGCTTAAAATGCTCTGCATTCAACAGAGTTAAATTGATGTGTTATGCGGTTGTGTAATCATCTAAAAGCTTGATGATGGAAATAAATTGTTGTCAATATTTCTTGATCATTAGAGCATCTTTAATACAATAATGTGCCTACTGCACATATGGCATGAAAGAGATAGACACCAAAATAAATAGATGCTACATATGCGCCGTGCAAACTGTTGCATTGAAGATGCTTTGAGTTATGTGTGTGAGTGTGTCATGGAAATTATTCTGTTATTTTTCATTAATGTTGATTTAAACATGCAGAATTGCAGAGTATATGAAAGATCTTACGTATCTCGAGAAGGAAAGAAAGATACATCGCAATCATCACATTGATGCATTTATGAAGGTTTCATATTTGATCAACTTTGTACTTCCTCCCTTCCATATTACTTGTCCCACATTAATTTTGGAATTCTTCCAAGTTGCGCCTCACTTTCCTATTTGAAAATCGCACATAAAAGTAAGTTGGTACAGTACACCTCCAAAGAGTGTACAGTACACAAAAACAAACCCCTTAAAGCTGCTATAGTACACTTTATATTTACTTCTTATTGTAATTTATACACAGGCATCATCAGTTAGCAATGGAAATGACTGAAATGAGATGCTTAGGGGTGTTTCAGGTGGACAAAGGAAGAGAGTTGCAACAGGTTTTCAACTTTCTTGTGTATTCTTTCTATTTGTTTTTCTCTATGTCAAAGGGCTTGCTGCACCTTCCACACGTGTGACTACACATTATTAAACAATGTACACGTTATACTACATATTCATTTTCTAAGGTGCCTATGGCAGACAAGTGGAAATTCAAAGTCGAACTAAAAGTTTACTCTTTCATATGATAAAGACTTGCAAATTGACATCTCGAGACGCAGTAACATATTTATATTTTATACTGCTTTCTTTCATTAAACAATCTTTTTTATGTGGTAAATATTTAGTCTTTGTAATGGATTATATACCAGCTTATTTAAACATGAGTCCCTGTGAAAATCCAGCAAAAAATCTTGACAGCCCTGCAAGAATTCACTAAAAATTGTTTCTGTAGTTAATGAGACACTTTATTCTTCAGTGCTCATAGGCTCATAGCAGAAGAAATAAAGAGATCTCCATGCTCTTTTTTGCAACGAAGTATGAGAAGAATGAAATACTAGGGAAGGAAAGAAATATACATCCCAATCGCCACTACACTTATCACCTCAGTTTATGGATGATTGTTGGGCATGTCAATGTAGGAGAGATGATTGTTGGGCCAAGAAAGACTCTGTTTATGGATGAAATATCTACTGGACTCGACAGCTCCACTACATACCATGTTGTGAAGTGCATAAGGAATTTTGTTCATCTAATGGAAGGAACCGTCTTAATGGCTCTTCTTCAGCATGCCCTAGAGACATTTGATATGTTTGATGATCTGGTTCTGCTTTCCGAAGGATATGTAGTGTACCGTGGTCCACGAGATAGTGTTGTTGAGTTCTTTGAGTCATTCGGTTTTAAACTACCACCTCGTAAGGGGATCGCAGATTTTCTTCAACAGGTTATTTGTTTTATATTTTCTTTTAAAATAATAATAATAGTTATTGTTGTTGTTAATTATATTCTTCAGAACGTGTGTTTATTATATGTCCTCACTGTGATGCAAAAGAAACTGTAACTAATCTTTTTTGCAGGTGACTTCAAGGAAAGACAAGACACAATACTGGGCTGATCATTCAAAACCATATGTTTTTTATTCCAGTTTAAAAAATTGCTGAAGAATTTAGTGTAGATATGTACTGGTGCTCATCATTCAGCTTTCTGTGCTAAAAGGTTTGCAGTTTCTAACTGGAAGCTCTTCAGAGCATGCTCTTCCGGGGAATTTGTTTTCATTAAAAGACACAAATTTCTTTACATTTTCAGAACTTGCCAGGTATACTTAACTTTTTTCAGGTTAAAAACATAACCTTCACGTATAAAAGTGGCATTCATAATTTTTACTTTTGGGCTTATACCTTGCAATATGAGTTTCCCGGTTTGTCATTGATGTTGCAGGTTGCATTTGTGGGATTTGTGACGTGCACAATGTTACACCCCACTGATTTGGTCAACACAAATATAGGAAAGGAAATATATGACAAATAACCTGCTGAAGAAAATCTGTTGTCCCCTTACGAGGTGGAAGTTTAAAAACCTAATGACTCAAAGAACTCAACAACACTATCTCGTGGACCATGGTACACTACATATCCTTCGAAAAGCAAAACCAGATCATCAAACATATCAAATGTCTCTGGGGCATGCTGAAGAAGAGCCATTAAGACAGTTCCTTCCATTAGATGAACAATATTCCTTATGCACTTCACAATATGGTATGTAGTGGAGCTGTCGAGTCCAGTAGATATTTCATCCATAAACAGAGTCTTTCTTGGCCCAACAATCATCTCTCCTACATTGACATGCCCAACAATCATCCATAAACTGAGGTGATAAGTGTAGTGGTGATTGGGATGTATATTTCTTTCCTTCCCTAGTATTTCATTCTTCTCATACTTCGTTGCAAAAAAGCGCATGGAGATCTCTTTATTCTCAAGTCAGAGACATGTATTCTTTGTCAAAGTATATCAATTGTCCATTTATACAAAGTGCAGTATATTGTGAAATGGAGAAGATTTAAAGTAGATATATTGAGATGAATATAAAGATAATAACTTTTAAATACCCTCTTCTTATTCTGAAGTTTTTTAATGAATCAAGTAGTTCCGCTTGAATCATCAAAGAATAATTGCTGTCAATATTAAATCTATCCACTTTTTATCTATGATTAACAAGGATTGAATTTCGATAACTGGTCTGAATATGAGGATAAACAATTCAAATTTCAAACTTGTAATTTTGAGGATTTTACAACACCCCTTGAATGTTCATCCTTGAATGAATATATTGTTATCTTAAAAACTTATTATGAAATATTTATTGGGAAAAGCCAAGGTTAAGAGAGGAAAGAGTACGACTTTTAATGCCGTTGTATTTGGATGTATCGTTTCGTTAAAAATCATATCAAGAAAAAACTGGTAGGATAAAAATTTGATAAAGGAAAAATGAGTGCAGTGTATTCAAATACTCCCTGAACATAGCATTCATCTGCAAACTAAGAGCCTTTAAAGTATGACTGCATCTATTTTCAAGATATATTTTATCAGTTTGGAATCTGTCTTTGGGAAGCAAAGACCATATACGAGAAGGTAATTTTCACTATATTGAATGCATTGATTATTGGCTCTGCATTCTTGAATGTTGGTACGAGAAGGTGAAACTCCTACCATGGATCAAGTTATACTTACTTTTCAAGTTTAGTTCCACTACACTCTCATTATATCATTATCCCAACCGTGTATAGTCAGTCTGTCTTATGATATGTTATTTGTAAATAGCATATATCTTAATCAAGTAAACTTAGCAAATGACTCAGATTTTCTGAATCCTTGTTTCAAGTTTATTTTTTACTTTTAACGTCTAGAAAATAATGGGTTATATCTAAAAATCAATGAGTTTATGTTCGTAAAAGCTATTGAGATGATTTCACAGGGACTCAACACAAAAGTTAATGGTTGGTAATGGTAGCTCCGGATAGCTACTCTATTTCTAGGTGTTAACAATTCATTATTTGTACGACCAATAGTTCCCAAAGAGTGAACAAATTTTTATAGAGAATGAGCAGTTGGAGTGTATGTGTATTCACCTCTCCAATATGCAATAGCTCAGGACATAATGATATAAATAAACTTAATGCTTTTAAAATTTCAAAAGCATCCCAATATCCCATGCAAGTTGTATCCCTTCTAGTTTTTTTTTATCGTAAAACAGGCGGCTTTATATTAAAATCGAGAACACATACAAAACAATCTTCAGACAGATTTTACAGATCCAATCGTGAACCCTAGGAGTAGACATAGAATCAGACACCTCATACAAAGCAACCTGATTCGCTAAACATGAAACGGGCAAATTTAAGCCTAAAACGAACAGATCTGAAACCCTGCCTATCAAAAGAACTCCAAAAACCCAAACATTCAAACCAAATCTACTCGGACTAAAACAAAAACAAGTACTACTAAAGAGAAAATAATGTTGAAATAAAATCTTTCCACAAAACTCTTCCTGGTATGGAGGTGGTTCCGGAGAAGGACAAGCTCTTGCAATATGGGTGAATACCAACTCCACCACCGCCGGAGCAGTCGACCAAGGCTTCACGATCCAGCACCGATACAAACTCTCAGCCGCAATCCATTTCTCCGCCAACGTTATCTCCTTCAACGTAGTTGCAATCCCAAGCATTAGAACACTTGTAATCAGAATAATCTGCCGCTCCAGCCCCACATTGATAGGGACGGCGAAAAATCTCAACCCCTACAAAGAGGGGAGACGGACGCTAGGTTTTGAGAGAGAAGCAAGAGCTCTCTAGGGTTTTGCTAATTCCATATGTTGCATGACTAATTAAAACCCACGTTCCCCTTCTAGTTTTTTATTAAATATTATAAACATTTATGTAGATGAAAAGTTTGATGATGTCATTTTAGTTTTCAGGATTATTTGAGATTTCGTACATTCTGGTGCAGACAGTATACGACACCATGAACAATTTTGAAGGGACAATAGTTTATATTTCTAGTGTTAACAACTTTTTTAAGGAAGTGGACATAATTAATTAGATTAAATGATTGATAGGTGGTTTCAATTTTGCAGAGAAATGTTTACTATATCTAGTGTCATATTTAATAAGTGAAAGTTTCACGTAGTACCCCATATTTTACCGTATGATGGCAGTCTGACTCACTTCAAAGTTCAAACCAGTAAACATTTCCCAGTTTTGAAGTTTTGACTACACTTTGGTGTGTTTTCCTCTTTTTTGTCAACACTGCATTAGAATTCAAGTTGCCAAACACGGTCTCAATCAGAACCAGATCATCACACATAGGAGTACCGAGTACTAGATATCACCATTAAAATATCAAGAAATTGCTCAAACTAAAACTAAAACATGAATACAATGTTAAAACATTTACATAACTAAACATGTTTTCTCCCTAATACGGAGTATTTGATTTAGTTACTCCTACTAAAAGAATAAAATCCCATCTAAACTAGGCTGACATACTACACTAAGTGCAAAAATGTCATTCTCATCCTCATCGTCATCTCCGTTGGAAATTTAGGAACTTCACAGATGCAGCAAAGACAGAAAAGAAGAGGATGCTGAACCCGACAAGTATCAGGGCCGACCACTCAATCATCCCAGGCCCATACCCAAGACTGACCCGCAAATACTCTTTCACCGTACCTTTGTACCCTGGACCCACCACCTCTGTTTCTACATCCCCAAGTTGAGACGAGATGATCCCCCGCAGGCTCCAGGAGATTGGGGAGATGTAGTATAACCATATCCACCACCCAGGAATGCTCTATCAATCAACACATATTTAAGACAATACATTTCATCAAGATCAAAGAATTGAAAGTAACAAACATAGATGGAAATTTCAATATGTGCACCACACGTTTAACCCAACATTTAACTTTGCATTCCAGTATTTTTCTTTGGTTTTGCTCCCGGAAAAATATCAAAGTGGGTGTAAAGTCACATGGTAAAATATGAAATGCAAATGCTCAAAAAATCATTAAACTTTGCACCCCATATTATCCTAATATTTGACTTGGCATTTCTTTTTGGAGATCTTTGAGCTCAAGGTAAAAGAAAAAAAAATGTGGACGCAAAGTTAAATATTGTGATAACCATGGCATACAAATGCTAAATTTCATTAAAAGGAGAGGGATAGTTGAGATAAAAGTGGTAGAAGTTACAGGTTTAGGAACAAGAAAGCCAGATAGAAGATTCCACAATGAGTAGAATGCAGAGGACATGACGGCTGCAGTTTGCTGGTTTGATGTGAGCCCGACCGCCATCATGCCGTAAAATGTGAAGTAGGTGAAAGTAAGAAACATGAACACTAGATAGAGTAAAAACTTCTCTGCAAAATTGGAAACACCAGTCAACCTAATTACTTATGTTCACTTCTTTATAAATTCAAATTTTTAATTCCGTAAAAAACACACCTATTGTCCTTTCAAAGTTGATCATGAAATATGTAATGATGCCATAGATTATTGTCTGCGCTAGAATATATGGAATCTCAACCAGGCCCTGAAAAATAAATGACATCAAACTTCATCAAGATAGTTGCTTATCATGTTTAACTTGCCCTAAAAAAACAGACAAGGTTTAACTTGCATTAGATGCTTTTGAACTTTGAGTAAAGTAATTGAAAGTCATTACTAAGTGACTATGTCATTATGTCCTGACCTGAGCAGCTGCATATGGGAGAGATGAATACATCCCAGCTGCTCTTTCTCGGTAGAAAACTGTTCTCTCTATAGAAACTATTGGTTGTACAGATGATGAATTGTTGACCCCTAGAAATAAAGCAGCTGTATACAGAGCTCCCATTACCACCATTAACTTTTGTGTTGAGTCCCTGTGAAATCATCCGAATAGATTATGTAAGACCGTTATGATTGCAACAAAGCCCCTGCTCATCCCGCCTGAACCTGATTAATCACTAATAGGCGCTAGGCCCATAGCAGCCACCAATTCGGTAGGGGAATCTAATTCCTTTTACAACATTGAGAGGGAATTTTTTTACTTTCACAGGAGAGTAATATTCTGCAAAGTCCCTCAATTTTCAAATTACATATTAGAGTAAAAATAATGGGTTCTAAGGTGATACACTGATAATTAGTTTTGTCATCGATTTACAATCATAACAAGGTAAACCCACTGATTTATAGAGTATAACTAAGTCATTTGCTAAGTTTTACTTTATTAGTTCAATTTCTAGCTGAAGCTACATATATAGTTTTTGGAAATCGCAGTTCGTAAGACAGACTTTACAGGGTATATGATAAAGATATAATGAGTGTGTAGTGGAGCTGACGTTGAAAAATAAGTATGATTCTATTGCAGGAGAGTTACCTTTTTGAACCAACATCCCAGAATACAGAGCCAATAATGAGTGCACTCAGCAGAGTGAAAAATATACGCACTGCATTGTAGGCAGGACTTCTCCAGTATACAATGTTTTGCTTCCAGAGGCAGATTCTAAACTGAGAGAACGTGTCTTGAGAATAGATCGAGTCAAATTTTAAAGGTTCTGAATTTGCAGGTGGAACACTGAAACTCTCAATCAAAGCTTCAACTTCCCTACACAGGCATAAAAAACAAACTTACATGAACGAAATGCACAATCAAAATCTAAAAGAAAACAAGCAGCAGCAAATCGTGTTTTTTATTACTACTGAAAGTAGATCACCTGTACTGTTCTGAATTTCTATATAATTCTGCAAAGTCTTGACCTATTCTCTCTTCTGCAGCAGGGGTAGTGATCTCAAGCATCCAAGTTGCAGGGTTGTAACTAGGAGGGATTGGTGGAGTACCGGGCATACTCTATACATATTTTAGGACAAGTGATTCATTCTCATTAGAAAATTTACAATTTTATATTAATACAAGCAAGTACTGTAGAAAAGTAAAACAGGAATGGAAACAAGAGTATGCCTGAAAGTAGTTTATCATAGTTTGTGACTGCTCCCCGAGCTTTCCTCCATATATCATTTGTCCACCTCGTTTCATAAGAAGCAGCTACACTTTGAAACATTGTGTAAGAACACTACCCACAACACAATTACTGAAGAGTGACAACATTTCCTCCATTACTTAAGGCCCATTTAGATAACATGAAATGCAATGCAAAGAAAATAGGAAGGAAGTTTGGAATATAAAGAAGTGGGTGAAGCCATGAAGGGGTGGGTGTTTGCTTCAATCTGTTTAAAATAATTTATTTACATGTGTCTATCATGTAAATACTATGAAAGTATGAAACATAAAGCTACGTGGAATTTTGAAAAATCCTAATCAAATTGAATTTTTCTTTGCATTTTCAAACGTAACACTGAAAAACGGTTTTCCTTTTTTTCCCTTTTCTTACAGATATACGAGTTCCAAAGATTGCCTGAACATCAAAGGAACTGACCTCATCAAATGCTTCAAAAATCTCAATACTCGGCTGATGGATGGTGCATACCACAGTTCTTCCAGTGTCAACAGTATTACGAACGGCCCGCATGACAATAGCTGCTGCACGAGCATCAAGTCCTGATGTAGGCTCATCCATAAAAATTATGGATGGGTTCGCTACAAGTTCCACAGCAATTGTTAAACGTTTTCTTTGTTCTGTGGATAAGCCACTAGTGCCTGGCAAACCTACAATAGCGTTCCTCAGTGTATCTAGCTCGACTAACTCCATCACTTCTTCAACAAACTCCTGAGGGGAAAGAAACTAGCATTTGATATCTGAATCACAAATGAATTTTGGATCTCATGAAATACTACGGGAAGAAAAAAGTAAAACAAATCGCCCTAAATAGGAGTTAAAACAATGTGGAATTCCAAAACAGGAGCACTTTGTGATTATTCTCTAAATAGGAGTAATTAGTGACATGTTTGGAAACACTGCAAACTGTGGCAGTAATATTGCTATATTAGCCTGATAAACCAAAATATGGAAGTTACTCTTATTTACAGATAACAACAGTACTTATATTTTAGAATTTTATTTTGTTTTACCCCCAAAAAATAATGATACAGAAAGTTTATTCTGTTTGGTCTTATCATAGAAAATACAAAGCAAAATGTAATATTATTACTTTTCACTCAAATTTACATTTTTTAGATTTCTTAGTCTTTAAATAGTATCTAAATTTAATCAATTGTGTTTTAGCAATAGTTTATTTCCTCTCAAATTTTCTCTTTCCAGTTTTCGTCAATGTTCCTTTCGTATTATCTTTCTCTAGTATCTTCCAGATCCAAATGGACCTTATTAAAGGTAAAAAAGAATAGAGCACTGCCAAACCTTTCTCTGTTTATTATTCACTTCTTTGGGAAGCCTTAGGTAAGAAGAAAACCAGAGGGATTCAAAAACTGTAACTTGAGGAGAATGTATGTCATTTTGTTCAACATATCCCGAAACTCTTGCAAACGTTTGTTGTTCTTTTGGGTGACCCGATATCCTAATGTCACCTTCTATCCATCCACCAGTCTTCCTGCCGGCTAGAACATCCATCAAAGTGGTTTTCCCTGCCCCACTTTCCCCAACTAATGCTGTAAGAATGCGAGGTGAGAAAACTCCACTAACATTAGACAGTAATTGCAACCTCTTTTCTGTTACACCTTGTGAGGTCATTTCCTACAAATAGGAAAAGCTTTATATTATTTTATGCTCCTATTGAAGAATTAGAGTCCCATAAGAGAAATTATTATACGAAGATACCTTTGGCATGTCGACGAAGTAATTGACCTTGTAGAAAGTCATTGTTAACGGCTGAAATGGGAGAATCATCCCTTTCTTTTTACTTGCATCTTTTCTGGTTACGGAATTTGAATTATTATTTCCTGCCTGAGCCTGGTCTATCTCTTGTATGTTCGTCCTGTTTTCCGCTATAATTCAAGACACGTACACAATCATTTAAAGGAGTCTGTTCACTCATAACCAACTGACCATAAAAATCATGGTTTCGATTTTTACCATCCTTTCTAGCTGAATTTTCTTCTACGAATGCCTGAGATGTTCTGATCGCTGCACAGCAGAAAAAAGCCAACACAAAAATAATAAATAAATGTAAGAGGTGATTGAGAGACAGTGACTTGAATGTCATGCAACAGATCCCAGACTACTTACGGTTAAGAAACGTCAATGCCAGTGTCACTATGATGTTGAAAAACAAGGCATAGAGCAGTAGAACACCAACTCCCAGCCAATACCAATAGCCACCTGCAGGTAAGCTGTGTGATTGCAAAAGGCTGTTTCCAAGAGTAATATTTCCTAAAGTAGTCCTCTGCAAAAGTGCCACAATTAAAAGGAGTCTTAAAAGTGTTAATAATTCCATTTTATGAATAGCAGATGCTTGTATTTTCATGAAATAGAGAGTAGACCTCATTCCATCTTGTTGCCGTGAACTCATTGACAGATATTGCTCGTTGCCCGTAGGATAATGGTGATACCCAAAAAGCCCAAACCCACCATCCCTTTATCATATCTGAAAAGGGAAACAGGTCAAGGGATGAAAGAATTGTTTTATTTCAACAGTGATCAGTCAAAACATGATAAAGGAAAAAGTTCTACTTGCCTCTAGGGATTATAAAACCACCCAATAAGAATATAGCTAGCAAGGCAGCTGAGCCAAATGTACTAGCAATGACCATATCTCGTGAAAGAGCTGCCATCGAGCGAAAGAGGCCCAATGCCATCTGATGTATGGAAAAAAGGACGAACATATAGCGGAAAAACCTGGAGATATTTTAATATGGCATTAAGATAACAACTAGCCTACAAGTACATATATATCTATATCAACATAATGAATGTAATGGCTGATACCTTCCCGCACCAGGAGCAAATCCTACAGTATAGTATACAACACAAGACCATATAACTGCTTCAATTACTGAGTAAGGTATGCGTGTAACCCAACAAGAGATAGACCAGGCCCAGGCAGGATAAAAAAGATTATCTCTTTGCTTATAGAACACTGGTAATCGGAAAATTGTAATAGGCATCTCAGAAAATCCATTGAACATCATATGCACCAGACCAAAAAACAGGCAAGAGAGGTACAGATTTGCGTTGACCAAATCAGTGGGGTGTAACCGGGTTCTTAAGAACATTGTGCAAGTCACAAATCCCACAAATGCAACCTGCAACATTATTGACAAACCGGGAGATTCATATTGCAAGGCATAGTGATGTCGAAGCTATAAGCCTATAAGTAAAAATTATGAATGCCACTTAGTACGTGAAGGTTATGTTATTAACCTGGAAAAGGTAAGTATACCTGGCAAGTTCTGAAAGTGTAAAGAAATCTGTGTCTTTTAATGAGAAGCAGTTCTCTGGAAAAACATGCTTTGAAGAGCTCCCAGTTAGAAACTGCAAACCTTTTAGCACAGAGAGCTGAATGATGGGCACCAGTTCCTTCATAAGGACCTGACAGATAAGACTCCAAGGCCTGACCATATCTGGAATTTCTAAATTCTTCAGCAATTTTTGAAACTGGAATAAAAACATATGGTTTTGAATGATCAGCCCAGTATTGTGCCTGGTCTTTCCTTGAAGTCACCTGCAAAAAAGATTAGTTATGGTTACTTCTGCATCACAGTGAGGACATTTAATAAACACACGCTCTGAAGACTATAACAACAACAATAACTATTATTATTATTATTATTTTAAAAGGAAATATAAAACAAATAACCTCCTGAAGAAAATCTGCAATCCCCTTACGAGGTGGTAGTTCAAAACCTAACGACTCAAAGAACTCAACCACACTATCGCGTGGACCATGGTACACTACATGTCCTTCAGAAAGCAAAACCAGTTCATCAAACATATCAAATGTCTCTGGGGCAGGCTGAAGAAGAGCCATTAATACGGTTCCTTCCATTAGATGAACAAAATTCCTTATGCACTTCACAATATGGTATGTGGTGGAGCTATCAAGTCCAGTAGATATTTCATCCATAAACAGAGTCTTTCTTGGCCCAACAATCATCTCTCCTGCATTGACATGTCCCAATTGTGGAATGATCATTTAACACTGAGCCAATGAGCACTGAAGAATAAAGTGCCTCATTAACTATGGAAACAATTTTTAGGGAATTCCCGCAAGGCTGTCAGGATTTTTCTGCCGGATTTTCACAAGGACTCATATTTAAATAAGCTGGTATATAATCCATTAGAAAGACGGTGAAAGTATCCTAAATATTTACCAAATAAAAGAGTTTGTTTAGTGTCAGAAAGCAGTATAAAATATAAATATGTTATTGGGTCGTGAGATGTCAATTTGCACATTCTTTATTATCATATGAAAGAGTAAACTTTTAGTCAGAATTTGAATTTCCACTTGTCTGTCATAGGCACCGTAGAAAAAGAATATGTAGTATAACGTATACATTGTTTAATATTGTGCAGTCACAAGCATGGAAGGAGCAGCAAGCCCTTTGACATAGAGAAGACAGATAGAGAGAATGCAAAAGAAAGTGGAAAACCTGTTGTAACTCTCTTCCTTTGTCCACCTGAAACACCCCTAAGCATCTCATTGCCAACTAGCGTATCTGAACAAATGTCAAGACCAAGTACTTTCAAAATATAATCTGTACACACAGTGTGTTTTCCACTGCTAACTGATGATGCCTGCATATAAATTGAAATAAGAAGGAAATAAAGTGTAATAAAAAAGATATTGTTGAATAATTACTCCCTCCATTCCAAAATAATTGTCCCAGTAGGGGTTTCATAGTTTAGTAGTGTTTGCAGGAGTTGGAAAAGTGGCTTTAAGGGGTTCGTTGTTTGCTAACCTTACACTTTTTTAAGGTGCATTAGAGCAGCTTTGAGGGGTTTGTTTTTGTGTATTGTACACTCTTTGGAGGTGTACTGTACCAACTTACTTTTTTGTGCCATTTTCAAAAAGGAAAGTGAGGCGCGCAACTTGGAATAATCCTAAAATTAATGTGGGACAAGTAATATGGAAGGGAGGGAGTACTAAGTTGATTAAATATGAAACCTTCATAAATGCATCAATGTGACGATTGGGATGTATCTTTCTTTCCTTCTCTAGATACGTAAGATCTTTCATATACTCTGCATGTTTAAATCAACGTCAATGAAGAATGACAGAATAAGTTCTATGAAATACAATAACTCAGAGCATCTCCAATTCAACAACTTGCACGGTGCATGTGTAGCATCGATTTATATGTGTGTCCTATCTCTTTCATGCCATATATGCATTGTGCACACTATTGTATTAAAGATGCTCTAATGATCAAGAAATATTGACAAGAAGTTATTTCCATCATCAATCTTTTAGATGATTACACAACCGCATAACACATCAATTTAACTCTGTTGAATGCAGAGCATTTTAAGTCCCTTGTAAAAAACCAATATGATTTTAGTCCAGACTATCCACTGCCATATGACCCATGGTGAAGAGGTCTCTTCTTCCAGAGATTAAAAAAGGTACTACGGAGTATAAAATAAAAATGCGAAACATTATGACAGTGGATAAGCTCAATCTAGTATCTGCAATTTTTTTTCCGCACATAAATATTATGACAATGGTACCCAGGGGCGGAGGTAGGGGAACTGATCTGGACAAGGTCACCCAGATTTGAAAGATGCTTGTACTTTTAGTTTAAAATTTGAAATGTAAAAATTAATCTTAAAAAATCTCTACCGATCCAACTCCACTTTACTTTTGCTCCTGCCCTCAGCTCCTGACGGTACGAGCATTGATAATTTATACAGAGTAGTTCAGTGGCTCGGTGAAAAATACGCAATACATTAGTAAGAAAAGGTTGATACAAACCTCCTAAACTCTGGTCCGCACCCTGGAATCTGGCAGCATAATCTAGAGTTTCTCGCACAGTTAGCTCGGCGATGTGGTTATCTGTCTGACTTATGTAAGCGGAGGTTCTTTGGACACAGAAGCTATCAAGCCGCTGGCCGTTGTATGTAATAATCCCGCTTTTCTGAAACAAAGGTGATGTTCCCGGAAAATTAGTACACCGTGTAATTAACTAATGAAGTACTCCGTAGAATGTATGGTTCAGAAACCGGATGGGGCTTTAAAAAAAGTAAAGTACTCCGTAGTTTTTACGTAGTACTGTACTACGTAGTTAATTTGGGTTTTTACGTGAGGGCAAGAATGAGACTTGAGAGGAGGCCCTCCTCCATTTAATTAATTTAAAACTTGGTAAAATGTGAAGTTTCAAATCATTCTTACATGAAATGGGGATAGTAATAAGATTTACGGAGTAAGTCGTAATCACTCCGTACTAATTAGTAATTACCTTTAGGCTTGTATCTGTTTCGAGTTTCCCGGCTAATGCCTTAAGTAGCGTTGTCTTACCCGAACCCGGTGGTCCAAGAAGAAGTGTCATCCTGACATAGTATATAACCCAATTAGACATTTATATACTCATTACTCCGTATCATATATTAGAGGGACAAATCAAATTTGTAAAACTACGAGTTGATGAATGAAGTTGAGCAAACTTAACTAGTACGTACTCCATATCTCATGTTTTGTGCAACAATATGCATGATGCAATATGATAATCAATGATATTTCTCTCTTTTTCTTTTCAAGATTTTATATGTTTTTGCTAATTCTTTCCAACAATGCCATCCATAATGCACACATTTTCTAGACGTTGTGGAGAAAACTAATCAAAAATATATAAGATCTTTTAAATAAAGAGAGAAATATATTATTTACTACTCGTAATATTCATTTGTGTATCTCTCATGTCATATGTGAATGGTGCACAGTACATTATATTGTATCATTGAAGATGTTCTAATTTGCTAATGGTCATAGGAACTCATGGGCGGACCCATAAAATTCAGAAGGAACTACTTAGACTCATGAGCGGGCACATAAAATTCAGATTTGGATGGGCCTTAAGAAAGACATGCCGTGCAACTTCTTATACTATCAATTTTTTACACGCTTTTACGAAAAACAATTATGCCAAACTAGGGTGGAACACAGTCTGCGTCCATATATAGATGTGCTAGTCATGCATGCATCAATTGTACGTTGCAATTACCTACCAGTCTACCATTAGATTGTGTAAGAGCGAATATGATCATTAATTAAGAAAAAGAGCATCTCTACAAGTTAGCTTGCTAGTTTACCTTCCAGGTTTGATGACACCACTTATGTTGTTCAAGATGGTTAGTTTGTGCCTCTTTGGTCGAAAGACTCGTATTCCTCTCAACATGCTCTACAGAGTACAATAAACGCATCATCGTCATTGACAGGCTAGATGATTTGACTATGAGAAGAAAATGGGTGGTGGCCATGCTAAAATGAAATAAATAAGGGTCCATTTGCAACAGCTTCTACTTTAAAAATGCTTTTTTTAATGAAATGAGAAGAAGTGATTAAATAAAAGTTGATAGTGTTTGAGAAAAAAATGATTTTGAAAAGTAAAAGTTGCTAGTGTTTGGTAAAATAAGTGCTTTTTGTGTAATAGAAAAAGTAAAAACACTTTTGACACGAAAGTCGAAAAAAATAAAAGTTGGTAGTGTTTGGTAAAAATAAGTATTTTGTAAGCCAAAAGCTGAGAAATTCTTTTTTTAAAGCATTTGCAAACCAACCCTAACTATTGCGTATTATAATTATATGTAATTGTTTTAACCATCAATATTATTTAAATTTTTGGCTAAAAACCCAATGAAATTTTAGCCGCCATATAATTAGGAGTTTTAGGTGGAAATTTTGAATAATTTACCAAAATAATTATGGTATTAATTATTTCATCTGAGAGCTAAAGTGACAAAATGCAATAATACCTCCATACAATATCCACGTAAACACTTAATTGATTACCTCGAGTGTGTCACGAACACAGTTGATTAAAGTTGGCAAAGCTCTTGAACCAATTTGAACATCTGCTCCAATTGTTACATCCTGATAACGAACTTCAACTTTCGGCACGCCCAATCCCACTCTTTTGGGGATGCAATTCAAAACAAACAAATGTAGATGATTTATTACTCGATCAATTGAATTGCTTGAATGAACTTAATAATCTCATATCATCAATAAGGCTTTCATCACATTAAACGCATGCATGATTCAATAGTGGATCATCAATCTCATAATCGGATGATAGCCATGATCGAAGATAATATAGATTGAGGAAACATCAAAATTTTACTGTAGCTTAGCCCGTTTCATTTAGTCATACTCATACATACACACACTACTAAATTACTACTGAATCTAAAACTGATCACAGATATATCAGAGTAAAATAGATCAGAGTAAAATAGATCAGAGTAAAAGCAAACTAATTACAGTAAATTATTATAACCCACCGGTCGAGGCGATCCTTAATGGCGGCAAGGAGCTTGTAATTATCCTGTTCGGAAGTCGCCAAGGCTTGCTTGACGACTAGCTCGCGTGTGGCGCGATCAAGCTTCCGCACATCGACGGCCTCGGTGATCTCCCTTCCGGCGGCCGTTTGTGACGCCGGCGCGCGATTCAGTAGCGCGAAATTCCGGCGTTTCTGGGACGGCAACCTCTCGATCGCCGCCCACATCAGTTCCTCCTCGTCATACGCGTACTCGAAATTCGACAGTCTCGGGAAGTTGTTATCCATCTGCGCCTCCAAATCGCCGGAGAAAAACTCCATCCCGTTCGAAGCGGCCATTATCAACAGCGATTTGGCTTTCTCTGTGATTTATGAAGGTTTTTTGTGGTATATATAAGCGTGATTAAATAAATCTGGAACAGATTGAGTTTAGCTGGGATTCCTTCATTTCCAGATTTTTCTCTTTCTCTCTCTGACGCTGGCTGGTATTGATTTTTTTCGCTTACACGGGCTCGGCGATAAGGCCGCGAAATTTTGAAAAATCGAAATGTCATTATTGTTCAGGATTCTGTTGCGCTGGAGAACGCAGATGGGATTTACGATGGGGGTAAAATGGACATTTGATCTGGCGCTTGTTTTATTTGCCCTCTTCACACGGGAGGGTGGTCTAAATGCACACGTGAGATCTTCTAGAAACACCAAATGCCATATCTTCCGCATGACCAAAACCATATTACTACTAGAGATGGCAATTGTGACCGATCCAATGGATACCCGAACCGAACCGCCCCGGTCAAAACGGGGAAAACCGCATTGACCGGGTAACGGGTATGGGGCGGGGAATACCCGTTTTGTTTTTACGGGTAACGGGGCGGTTACGGTTTTATACATCCCTGCCCCATTACCCGCCTCGTACCCGCCCCGTTTATTTTAGTTATATTTTTATTACATTTTTATCTATTATTTGTCCCATAAGTAAATGAATATGAGATTTTTTTCTATTTTCATTAAGTATATGGATAATAGATGTACTAACTATAATGTTCAATGAGAGTTCATAATAGATCTTAATAGTCTTGTTTGATTATTATCAGATTTTTTAGTGAATAATTATTTTTCAGATTAAGTATTTTTAGGTTCAAATTAATTTATGTTGTCTTCTTTCTCGTCTTGTAGATATACGAAACTTTAAAGTGGCGTCTCAGTCTAGAGTCATCTAGGTGATGCCACTTTTTGCCTTTTAAAATATTATTTTTATATTAAAATATCAATCAATCATTTAATAAAGCGATTACCCGCGGTTACCCGTGGTTATACCCGTTACCCGTTGGGGCGGATACGGTTTGGGGAAAAATTACCCGTTGGGTAATGGGGCGGTTATGGGGCGGGGAATTATCAAATGGGGCGGGTACGGTTATATGTAAACTCGTCCCCGAACCGCCCCGTTGCCATCCCTAATTACTACGTACCATTTTAAGGAACGTTTTTTCTTTTCCTTCTCTGTATACGTAGTACAGGTGCATTGCCCGGAGGAAATCAATTATATCATCTCAAAAATTCTAATATAAGAGTAAAAATATTTTGAAATATCAAGTCCTACCTCCGTCCCATTTTATGTGTCTTAGTTTGATTTGGCACGGTTATTAATGAAGTGATTGAAAAAGTAAAAGTTGTGGTTGAGATTTGAGTATAATAAAGTGAAATGGTGTAGACCACATATTTCTTTCCAAAAGAGGAAAGTAGACACTTATTTTGGGATAGCCCAAAAAGGAAAGTAGGACAGGTAAAATGGGACGGGGTGAGTATAAAATTTTTATTTTCTAAATGTAAATAATTTCTTTATATTTATGACAATTTCTCTTATGTCATTGATATAAACATAAATGAGTCTTGAAAATTTATCTATCGAGTTAAAAAAATTACGTATATGTTATTTATAATAATAATTGATATCAAGCTGACTAGTTTTTGGTTAAATAGGCGTAGAATTAATGAAAACTAACTTCTTCAACCATTTTATATTTTTATTGGCAGATCGATCGATCAACGTACAATTTTGAATATGAAAATAGAAGCATAAGTAAGTAGTTCATTGAATATTTATAATTGAAACAATCATTTACATTTTAATGGTTCAAAAGTAGCGTGTGCTACTATATAGGCAAATTCACATTAGAACACATATGTTACTTAAAAGTATAGTATTTTATGACACCTTCTACTACATTTGTTTTCTTTTAAATGCAATATTGAATTTTTTACACTATTCACATGTTCTACTTTGACTCTACTTTATTTATTAACATATTATATATTAAATTGAAAAAAAATGTTAAATTATATCCTCTCATTTTAAATGTTCAAAATCTATTTTTTTTTAATTTCTTTACTAATAAGGAAGGAAATATATTAATGGCCGAACTTGTGTGTTGGTAAACATAATAATTGGATCGGTGCAATTAAAAAAGAACGGAGAAAGTATATAATATTTTTTGTGTTCAAATCATAGTAAAAATCTTTTATTAATTTTTTTGTGTTGAGAAATCATAGCTGGTAATGAAATGTTTTAAACTTGGAAATCAAGCTATTTCCCTCACAAACGCTTAGGCCTTGTTTGGTTCAAAGGAGGGGAGGGAAGGGGAGAGTCAAGAAGGGAAGAGAAGGGAAGGGGAGGGAAGGATTTTGATAAAAATTTGTGTTTGGTAGGAGGAAATAGGAGGAAAGGATTAATGAAAATATTTTCCCAATTTACCTTTATTTGATAGCTTACTTAAAAAATAGATACATCTCTAACTATGGTGAATAGTACTCCTATGGTCATGAGTCATAATATCTTTTTTGTTTTTTACTTTTTAAATTTTATAATTTTTTATTTTTTATTTTTGAATTTTTACTTTTTTTTTTAAAATTTTTAACTTTTTTAATTTTTAAATTTATGAGTTTCTAAAATTTTAATTTTTAATTTTTTAAATTTAATAATTTTACATTTTTTTAATTTTTCAAAACTTTTTATTTTTTTACCTTTTTTATATTATAACGTTTTGTCCATTCACATAGGAGATGAATAGTTTGTGGTTATCAACACGATTCCTCCGAAATACCCCGATTTGGGGGGGTTAGAATGAGAGGAAGTCGAAGATTTTGGAAGCCTTCCACTTTCTTCCCCTTCCCTCCTATTTTCTTCAACCAAACACACACACATCCCTCATTTCCCTCCCCTCCCCTCCGAAACCCTCCAACCAAACAGGGCCTTAAGGCGGGATGAAATATTAGAGCATGGCAAAATAGATGTTTGCCATTTGCTTAATTTTAAAATACTCCGTGAATAAATAAAAATCACTTTTCACCCCAAAAAAATCACCATGATTGGGGACGTGAAAACAGGGGCGGAGCTAGGAAAACGTGAGGGGGTCAAAATTTAATTATATACGTTATCAAAATGATGGATTGTTGTTAAACAATACTCGAGTTAAATGTTGCATATGTAACTGAGATAAATGGTAGTTTAATGAGACTTTTTCAGTTTTAATGCTATCATAATGTTCACACAACTAATGAGTGAATAAGGTGTTTTATTTTTAAATTTAAGAATATAATCAATGCTACACATCAGATTTAATTTTGCTTATTTCAAGTTAAGATGATGCTGATTATTCTAGAAGTCGTAACGTTTTACTCGTAATGAGTTACGTGCCTCATAATATATAAAATCGAAGATTTTTCAGAGCACTACATACTTTAACTTCAAAGGGGGTCGGTTGACCACCCTGACCCAGCTCCGCCCCTGCATGATAACCCTTCCAAGTTCGGGCTTGCATGTTTGATTAAAAAGAATAAATTAAAAAGCGGTAGAGATAAAAAGATCAGAATATTTGGTTGTGAAATTCATTTTTTTTGAACGATTGTGAAATTCATTTTAGAGAAGAATAAAATTAAATTTTGAATATAGGAAGTTTATGGACATGGAAAATCTTAATAAAATCTTATAATTGTCAATGAGAGTTAGAGCATTTTAGGGATGAAAAAATTGTTGGTGTAATCATCTAGCTTAGTGAGCTTGTACAATGTATTTTAAAATGTGCACACTTTGCTAGCATCTTATTTCTCCGTTTTCTTTCCATTTGTTGTAATGGCTCCTTTCAACCTCAGCGTCTTCTGTATATGTCAACGTTCTCCTATACATTCTGCCTATGTTATCTCGCTTGAGACAACCTTCAAACAACCTCCTCTACATTCATCTCTCCACTCCTAACCCTTATCGGAAGAAATCCCCTAGGTTGTAATTCGTTTCGCCACAGGTTGGGATCTGTTCGCCGCCGGACAGCCGTATAGCTAATAGCAAGAACCACACGACCAAGGTAATTTCAGAGCACTGCCCCACCTAGATATTTCGAGGTATGAAACTTCAACTTATAACCCGTATCAGGTCGAATCCGTTTGATAATTTGGGGTGTTGAGTTCCACTTATGAACGAATGAGTTGATAATCAAAGAGTTTCGAGTTGAATATACCATATTTACTTCCTTTAAGGTGTTAACATGTGGAGGAGGTGTGTCTCCCCATGTTTCTTAAATCTTATCTTATCTTAAAATCTTAAATGAGGGTTAACAATGAACGTTATTAACAATACTCTCATCAAATTAGAGAAAAAGTTAAAGCTTGCAATGTTAAGGACCAACTCACGGATGTTACTGCCAGGTTAGAAAATAGCTTTGCCAAGATGTTTATAGATTTGCCAAAATGTTCATGAAATTTTCTTTGCAATGATTTGTAGCTTCAAATGTCATCAAAAGACTCAAAATTGACTGAATAACCCCATGACCATACAAACAATTTAGCAACACAGGATTTCATGAAGAAAAAATTACACAAATATTACAACTTTAAATCTCTCTAACAAAAATATGACTACTAATTGAAAGAACGAGGTGATTTTCCTACAATTACTCCTAGATTGCTTTACGTGATTGACAATTATGGTCACTTACTCACTTTTTTGTAAACCCAAACTGCATTGATAATATTCACATAAAAACTCTTTCATGAATCAGGCTTCTCCAGTATAATCCCATATGTATGGGGAGGATTACATTTTCTTCATATATCTATCTATTTCACAAACTCAGTTTCCCCCCTTTTTAAGCCTGACATTTCAATGATTTTGATTTTATATAGCTCCATCATTTATCTATTTAGCTGCATCATTTAAGACAAACTCAGTTCTGGTTTTAAATTTTAAACAGGGTTATTAAAAGTGCCAAGTGATTGTTATTTTCTACTTCATAGGATTATAGTTTAGACTGGCTGATTAACTTGAAAAACTAAATTAAACCACATTCAATCTGAAGGCAGTTTTTTACATCGGCACGTTACATTTTCACTATTTTGTTTTCCGGAATACATTTAACAATGTTTTTTCAGATCATATACCATTTT